TCAACGATCAATGAGGCTGAAAAGCGAAAAGGACAGATGTCATCCATCTACCTCACCTACCAGAAATGTGAGCATAGTGTTCTAATCGCATCGGTCTAGCGAATCTCGCTCAGGAAATTACCTACCACATGAACCTACTGATCCTCAAGATGAATACCTAAACAGGCATGTGTCACTATATGGCAAGCCAATCAAGTCATCGTATCCTCAAAGTTGTCAAGTTCAGCGACTCAACTGTCAATCGCCCCTTCGATTTTCATGGATCTAGATGCGTACGATCTACGAATAGACAGTCCAAAGTCTGTATGGTCGTTTGTCTGTCGTTCTTGAGGTCTGAAAGCTACATCTACCATCGTGCACGGACGACAGATGACGATAGATATCGATTGTAAGCTTCCAGGGTTAGTTATGTCTTCTTATAAGTGCCGGCCTCAACTAGGTGGTAGGTTTGTTTGCAGGACTGGCAAGAGACGGTCTATGGTTCCAGATGGACTCGAATAGCAGCCTGAATCGCCTTCTCTTTACACATCTCATCCCGCTAGCCATGATCATGTCCAAATCTGAGCCGAATCCTCTGAGAACGCGACTTTTCACATTGCAGTTTTGGGCAGAGGCCTGCTCCTCCTCCATACAAATATGTAACTGGGGAAAGAGGCTCCCTATGAGACAAGATGAAGGATGCACTTGGAGGAGTGCCTTTCTTGTGGGTTCAAATCATCGCGAGGTAGGTGCTCTCTTGCGGTGGCGAACCAGATGAGCATACCTGCCTTTACGGCATCGTCGTCCCTTCCTATTTTGACTTCGCGAAGGAGTCAAGGTCAACTGACGTCCACTCCGCTGCCAATTCTGCCAAAACGTTTGCTTGATACAATGCCCAAATATGCCAGCCTGCCGGCTTCAACATAGCTTCATGTCGACTCTTTCGGATCTCTCTTTCAGTGCCCGACGATTTTGCTGTGTCTGTTAAGTAGAGATACTTCATATTACCATCAACCCGTGCCACGACCTGGTCAATGTCTCTCCAAATGGAGAACATCCACGCTCAACGTCGTTCAGCCAGCCATGGCTCGCTTCGCAGCAGCTATAAGTCCCACGCTCGACCGCCCAATGGATATGGTCTACCACGTCGACCGTTGAGAAGCGTCAACGAGAATGCAAGTTTACTTCCGTCGCCCGGTCCTCTCGAGAGCATGCTCAAGACCACAACGGAAACAGGCGACATAGGCATCTTCAGCATCAAGCCAATAGCTCCAGCGGCTACAACACACCAATGCGCAAGATCACGGACCGGACTCGATGTTAACACAATCTTTAAATCTGAGTCTCGTGCCAGCCATAGGACCATCTCTGGAGCCGGCCGTCGATGGCACAGCTCTGACAGAGACACCAATTCAGAAATCATCTCCATGTATGGCTCAGAAGGCCCTCCGTCCTCCTTCTCCAGCTCATTCTCTCCCAAAATCAATGGGCCGTACCAGCGTTCATACTCCCTGACCACATGTGGTTCTCGGAAATTATCCAGTAACAAGTCATCTGGTACTCTCCAAAGCCATTCGAGTAGCGTCGTCTTGCAACGACCACGCTCCCCGTTTCCCTACCCGACTCGACTGAAACGCCCCGGGGTTCGCCCATCTTCGCCGGCTCTCACGGAGAATGGACTTGTTGACTACAGTAGGATGGTCGAAATAGATCGAATCTCATATGTAAGCACTCATGGGTCTCCACAAAGCGTTGCGTAACAGGAGCTCATTATTTATTAGAGGACTGTGCATGGCTCGTATAAGCCAACCTTTTCGAAACCGCAACGATTTGGTCCTCCCAATGCGTTTCGCGGCGGCATCAACCAATCCATGCCGTCTCTACCGCATTCCAACTCTTTCGTGTCGCCAACTGGATCCGCTCTTGGGTATCGTGGATACCATAACCCGTGGTGTAACGAGCTTGCGAGCAGACCACGACGACCATCCACGGATTATAGTGCGAGATCCTCGAGCCTGACTTCGGTCGTTGAGATGTACTACAGATCACCCTCAAACTCGGAACCCAATCTGTCACGCACGATTCGCCCTGCAGGATCTTTCTATTATGACTACACCGAAGCTTTTGAAACCCCGGAACGCCATACAGATCCTCGGGATTCTACCTTGGCGCTGCCTTTAGCTCCGGTTCCTCAGCGAGCATCGAGCCTTACCAGAGCCTTAGTACTTCGAGACGAAACGAAGGCTCGTCTTGATGCTGTCGTCGACATATCTGTGAAAGACTCAAGCGATTCGTCCGGTGATGACTGTCGAGCCTTGGCCAAGAAACTTGCCAATGACATCGAAATGTTACCTTCACAGCGCTTGAGCTCCAGAGCCTCCCCTCCGACGCTGGAACAATTTCCGTTCGAGGTTGATGGGACATCGGCTTCTCGCCCTGTCGACGTTGATAACGATTTGAACATGTTTGCACATTGTTCACAGAACGTAAATACTGCGGCTTTCCAGCGATCTCAAACGACTCCAAAGCCTCAAAACATCGGACATAACAAAGTTGAAGATGGAGAAAATGCGGAAAACTATGCTAATCCGTCTCGAGGCCATGAGCAAGCGAATGAAGGCCACACAACGAAAGCGAACGCTGATACTTCACTTCCAGCGGTGGAACATGCAACGGAGGCACTATCTGAATCCCATCCCAAGAGTGCGGACGAGGTCACCTCAGGCTCAAACGAACCCAGTACGTTGCGATTCGAGCTGCTCAATCGAGATCGGCTATCCAGAAGAGCCCCGTCCCACAGTGGCCTCGCGGCGCTTCTCCGCTCGAGTTTACGCCATTCGGTTGAACCTGGCCTATCCGACCTTGCGGCTTTAGTCTCGTCATTCGAGCGTATTGCCAAGTCACCATTCATGAGCAAGGATGAAGACTCGACTGGGCTTCACGAGGTCGATATAGATGAGCCGAAAGATCTCAAAGCTGAAAAGGAGCTCGATCACCCCCTGGAGGGGGGAAATATGGTGAATGAGTCTGCCGCAAATGGCGCAAGCCATCCTGACCTTCAGTGGAGGCCTTTCTTCAGAGGCCATCGTAGAAACCGAGCGCTTGCTCGAATCAGCATAGCAAGTCTCCGAAGTCATACAGCGCCACCAGCCTCCAAAGCGGACAATCCTCTACTCTCCTCGACGCCAATTCCTACGAACCGTTTCTTGAGTATAAGCAGCAGTGTCCCGCACTTGATGAAGGCATTACCCTCCCTCCCCAAGGAGGCGCAAGCTCAAATCAGACGAGTGTCAGGGGCTTCTGGGGACGATTTGCGATTTCCAGTCAAGTTTTCACCCTTTCAGCTCGAAATCCTTGCAACTCCACGGTCGAGTCCTAGAATTACCGCACATTCCGATGTGGAAGACCATGAGTCTTTCCGAGCTAGCATTGAGCTCGAAGTGATTCAACCCAACAGAGAGCACAAACCGGCGGATCATGATGCACCGAGTCCGAAATTGAAAGTGACTGTGGGTTCAAGCCCATCGAAGCGAAAGTTTCGACTCAAAGCGTCTCGGCTGGCTTTAGATGTGGACACTATCCCAGAAGATCAGACCGGCACAGTCAGACGTCGCTCCAGTGTCAAACAGAGCATACTTGCCGACTTACCGGCTCACCAGGCCAAGAACCTATTCACCCCAGTGCGTCATGAGGAACGCCAAGGCAGCTTGGCTTACCGGCGAAAAGGAAGACGATATGTACAGCTCACATCAAGTGACGGGGAAATTCTACCGGCCCGTGTCTCTCCAACAGCAAGATACTCCAGAGATGGGTACCTGCATGAACGCGACATCCCTCTAGCGCACCCGGTTGACACGAACCTCTATAGGTTGAGTGCGTCCACTGATGGATTTGATCTCAGCGATTCTCGAAGCTTCAGCTCTGATTTAACTTTTTTCCGGCCGAGTATCCTCAAGAAAAAGCTGTCGAATCTCAGACTTCGCCTCACCAAGTCACGTTTGAACCTTCGAGAGCGTGGAAACAAGCACACTGGCAGGCGACCCCAATCAACCGGTCTGACCGGCTCGAAGAACTCTGACGCGACAGTTGTACACAGTAAACGGGCCACGGCCACCCCAGGTCCTTCGAAGCAAGTACGAAGGAAGATGAAGAGATGGGTCCGACAAGCTGTCTCCATCTGTGTCAAGGGCCGGCGAAACGAGAGCGAAATCATTTCTTAACTGTCAAGGAGAGAATGTTGAATCCATCATTATCGTCATTGGGTGCTTTTCTTGCTTTTGATTGTCAAGAACACGAGCTTCTTGGGAAAAAGACTTGTGGCTGTTTCTTTGGAGGAGTATGAGCGAAGTGATGGCCCTGGGCCAGAGTAGATGATACATACGATTGGTTGGGACGTAATGGGTGATGGTGGGTTTGTTGAGAACGAGACATCGTGAAGTGGCTTGACCAGATCAGGGCAGACTCACAGAATCAATAAAATGCGATATGAGTTAACATATTTGGTTGTGTTCAGGAGGCGCTAAGCGAGAATTGGAGGGCTTGCATCATGATGCTGACCTTACCGTATCATGTACGGCCATATACGGGATACATGACGGAGGGGCTGGTTGACCATGAAGGTTCTCATGGCTTCATACCCGGCCGTCACAAAACCGAGCTATCCCCACGGAAATCTGTCAATGTGAAGGTTTCCTCGGTACATACTGTCCACGCGACCACCGTCCATTCGTTAAGGAACTCCACCATACCGCTCGTTCAACCGACATTCGTTAGAAACTATCGTGATACAAATCGAAAAGTCGTCTCAAGACTTGAACATTCGCTACACATTGCCATTCGTTTCAACAATAGCTACACCTAGCTACAACTGGCTACACCTATAGCTCTATCAGCTTCAACGTCAGGCACATTGGTAGCTTCGTCGTCCGTAGCTTCATCACTGGCTTTACTACCTAACTTCCGTCGACAGCCTTCCCAGCTTTGTATATAGCTACATCAGCTTCCAACTGCAGGTGAATCAGCTTTAAACATCAGCTCCTTCGACAGCTTCACTGGAATTATCACGACCAAGCTCCATCAAGCCCCATCGACCGGACTCGCACCGTGACCCAGCAAAGTCATTCCATTGATCATTTCCCTTCCCTTCCCTACCTCTCGCAACCCAATCCCAATACACCAACAATGATATCCTCTCTCTCAGAGATGGAGGACCTCAGGTCACCTCTAGACCGTCTCCCCCTGGTCATCCAACACCCTTCCTTCTTCGAGAATCCGACCCAACATCTCTCCTCGTCGCGGTCGTCTTCGGCGGCGGGGCATCATACTTGCATCGACGGGACACAACTTTCCCAGCCGGACTATCGACCAAAGTACGTCGTCAACGACCGCCGCGCTCGCAATGGCGTGGATGCGGATGACGCCGTGGAGCGCAAGGATAGCGTCATGACCGATATTGCCGACGCGGATGAATCTCTCGAGACCAAGACGACGTCTTTGTCTGTGTCACCGCATTCGTTGTGGTCGGTTTACTCGTCCGAGTCGGGTGGTGGTGAAGAGCGGACCGAGGTGATGATGACGGTCCGCAAGTTGGTGAGGGAATTTGATGAGGAAGGGGAGAGCAGTACCGCACCCTCCGAGGAGGAGAAGAAGAAGGCCGAGGAGATGGAGATGGAGAAGCGTAAGAAGGAGAGGGAAGTCTGGCAAAAGGAGATGGATAAGCCGCAGAAGAAGATGAACAAGAAGAGGAAGAAGAGGGAATCCGCGACGTTGTTGTCCGGTAGTCCGTGGGGCGGCGACGCTCGATGGGTGAATGGTGGACGCGGGGGTAGGAATAATGAGGGCTACGAGGCTCCCGGGATCTTTCTTCAACCTGAAGCTCCTCGGCCTTTGCCTCCGACACCGACTGGTCCCGTTAGCGTGTTCCCGCCCGAGCCGAAGAAGCGCAAAGAAGAGAAGAAGGCGAAGAAGGAAAAGAAAGAGGCTGAGAAGGACGAGCTGTTGGTGCTGCCCAAGGTGCCGTGGTGCCACCAGAGCGGCGGGTGCCGCCAGAAGCGCGGACGGCGGAGGAGGAAGATGGCCGGGTTCGCGGCGCGGTCGGTCGATTTGCTGCGTCGGCTTTTCGGCGGGGAGAGCAGGGAGAAGAAAGATAAGAAGGGCAAGGGGAGGGCGAGGTGTCGGATCTGTGGCGATGAGTTGGGGTTTGCGGTTGAGCGGGCGAAGTGGCAAGAGGATAGAGATGCTGCTGCTGCTGCTGCCGGGGACAAGGAGTCGTCGAGCGGCGCTTGTGGACGAACGTTGGAAGCGGACACAGACAGGAAGGACATGGATCGAGCCGAGGCTGATATTACAGCGGTGGCGGAGTGTGAATCACGTTCGACGTTGGCGGCTGTTCGTCTTACAAAGATCCCAGAGGCGTGGTGGACGACAATGTAGATGGCTTTGACATGTAGAGTCATCTTTGTATTGATACCCAAGTAGTTTGTCGAGAGAAGCTTTCTCTCTCAGTCAGCATAGCCTCAGCATAGCCACTGAGGGCCAGCTCTTGTAATTTCTAATGGCTAATAGCTAATCAGTCCAAGCGTATGACCTGTACCCGAATGTTCAAGGGGTCATCTCGTTTCCTTGGATCAGAATACGCCTCCGCCGATAATGAAGACCCGTTCCTCCTCGCGACGGGCCCATTGAATGACTTTGTTGGCGCCTTGGGTGAGTACGGCGCGGCTCACGTTGGGGCCGGCTACGCAGTAAAATTCGAATATTGGTGTGATCCAGGCTAAAGAAGTAGCATCCTCGGAGACAGAATGTAGAACGCGCATATGGGAGTGTTTCGCGTGGACGGCAGCGTGTAGTTGATGATATAGGCCCATAAGGCGGCGACGAGCCATCAGGGAGGAGAATACGGGGTCGAGAGCGGACATGCTGAACTGCACGTTTGCGCGGGATTTGTAGAGGAAGTGCGATATTTGGCCACCGGGGGCGATGTCTGTGGTCTTTGGCCGTCCAGCACGCGCGGCGGTCTGTATGAGAGAGAGATGGCCCGACTTGGCCAGAGAAGCCGCGACGTTATCACGCATTTGCTTGAGCTCAAAGAAGGACTCCTTGTCCGGGCTGATGAGGATGATGGCGAGTTCTTCATCCTTGTGTACCGGCGCCTCATGCCCCGTGGCTTGCTCGCCGTCCACACCGTCGAAGAAGCTGACGTACATGTACAAGTAGCCGCGATTGTTGAAGGCCGGCAGGCATAGGGGGATCCAATTTTCTCCGCCGCCGGCTTTGATCCCACCCGATTCGAATAGCATATTGAAGATGAGTTGGAGGTCGCTTGGGTGCAGAGAGTGGCGACGCGGACGAATAACGCTGACCAGCTTACCACCGGCTACAATCAAGCCGTACAAAAGCTTGTCTGTCCTCTGCTTGAGGAAGGCATTGTTGATGGCATGTCTCTGGGACTTGCGCAGCTTGAGGCACTCCAAGGCGCCAAGCAGTGCTGACGGGGAGCCTTTCGTGAAATTATCGGCAAGGGACGAAATCAGGGGCTCAGTTCCTTCGAGTGGTTTTCGAAGATCGGACGATGGTCGATGGACAAAGATGTTTTTCAGCGTGGGCAAGGTCAGTGTCGACAGGATCTGCATGTACAGAGCCTCGAGTTGCGCTCGTAGCTGTGAGTCACTTTCCCCGAGCCGACTGATGGCCACGAAGTAGAGGGGGCCTTGCGTTGCAACAACAAATCGCGTAGTTCCAGCGGTGAAGCCGGACAAGGGGTTCTTAGCCCCTTCATAAAAAGATATGAGGGTTTGAATGACGCCCATGGACGAGTTGATCAGCCTCAGGTCTCCGTGACGACTGTAGATAGGTTTGCCCGCCGACGAAAGGATCATGTAGTGCTTCAACTTTGCCTTCCACATGGTGACTCGGTCTTCGTCTTTGAAACTCGTGTCGGCCTCATCGGGTAGGTCGTCAAACTCATGCTCGAACCCAGCTAGATTACGGGTTGTGTTGTCCATCCTCAAGGTTTCGAAGGGTGGCACTGTTGCCGATTGCGACCTGAGGAGATTCCATGCCGGGCTTCTCTTATTGAACTCTCCCATCAATAGGCTTGCAATGTCGTTGGGCGGCCGCAGGGTCGGAGAGAAGCTGGCGATACTCATAGAATCTTCGCCTTCGCCCAGCGTCCTCGTTGGAGTAGCTTGTCCGCTCGAGGACTGCACAGGGGTCGAAACGGCCCTGCTGCCTGTAGTCGAGAAAGTGCCGCGAGAACCATCCGGGAAAGACAGGGTCTGGATGTCGAGAGGTGTAACTGCGGTAGTCGCGGCTGCCATGGCCATTCTCGAATCTATCGAGTCGTTCGATTCCATCGAGGGCCGTGGAGGTAGAGGGGGAGGCTGCTCCTCGCTGGGGCCATTTTCGTGGTCCTCGCCCATGATTGCGATGGCGGGAGCATTTCAGCTAGGTGGTCGGGAAGTGGAACGAAGCGCGGCGATGTTGCAGACTACCTGAAGTAGAGTAGTTTAGACTTTATCTAGAGTTTGGGTCGGCAAACCAGGTTCAAACCGCCATGACTGGCATTCGAGACCTCACCTAGGGTATAGGTAGGTTGGTAGGTTGGTTACGTGAGGTTTAAAGACGGCACGGGAAGAGGAGCGAAAGAGGGACCCGACGGGATAAGGACGAAAATCGTCCCAAGTTAGCGCAGACCTGCTGATGATGCATAGGAGGGGCCGCCGAGATCTAGTGGTGCGGCAGCCTCTTCGTAGAGCGCCTTAGTGGGAACGGTCCGCTAATCAGAGCCTGTCTCGGCCCACTCGCTCGCCTGACCTGGGACCGGAGCTGGGCCAAATGCCCCCAGAGCAGGGAGCAACATGGGAATTTGCAAATCCCATGGCCGAGCGGAAACTCCCTTGCCGGAGGAAACATTCCGGACTTTGACAGCTTACTTCAGCAGACGCAATACGTTAGCAGCTGATTATCTAGATAATAGTAATGCCGTTTGCTGTAAGAGGTTGTGCCATGACCAAGTACCTTAGGGAACAAGATTCAAGTCAAGACATGGACTAGCCTCACTTTGGTCCAGGACATTTTGCATGCACACTACCTAGTACACGGACATGGCCAAGTACAACACCTACACCAATTTTCTTCAGAAGTTTTGTCTCTAGTGCTAAAAGATGTGTCTCATATCGTGAGGCTCAATGGTGGAGTGTCCAATCAAGGTGGAAAAGCGACAGAATGCAAAGAGCCCACAATTTCCAGGTGCATCCCAAATCCAATGCTCAATGACGTTGCGCTTTATCCTATCTCGGCGCTGATGGAGAGGGTTGTGCCAGCCTCGTCAGGCGAGAACGGTCGCTAAACTAGTCTGCCCAATGGGAAGCTTGGGAGCTTCCAGGGTGCCACCCCACTGTACACCTGTCGTCTGGAAGGAGACATGGTAGCCTTCCGAGCTCAAGCAACACTGTGCTCTTTAAACCCTGTTCACGATCACTGCATGCGACGACTACCTACGCCAGCTTGATTCTCCGAGGCTAGACAGCGATGCGATACCGTCCCTACAAGACCGGAAGAACAGACTGATGTACTCACTCGTTCAATCAACGCCCATTCTCAGCAATCATGGCCCTTGAGCCTGGCTCTGGCCGTCGGTCTGTCTCCCCAGAGAGCTCAGGCCGCGAGTCTCCTCTTCCTCGTCAATGGAGGAACCAGCTCGGAGCTGGTAAGCGTTTGGTCTTTAACTTTGAGAAGAATTCATGTATTGATTCTATGGGATAGAGGAAGCACCGACCAAGGACAAGCATTACCGCAAATACGCCTCTGGTGTTGAGAGGGCCCTTACTCTGTTTGAAACGGCCCTACAGGAATGGGCTGACTACATTTCCTTCCTGAATCGCCTCCTCAAGGTAAGTGTCTTTTTTCATGATGGCGAACCGATGTCCAAAACGACGAGAGACTAATCGTACTCATCAGGCACTGCAAGCCCGACACCCCTCGGTCACGACTATCCCTTCGAAAGCCATCGTCGCGAAACGCCTGTCGCAATGTCTCAACCCCTCCCTCCCGTCCGGCGTGCACCAAAAAGCACTCGAAGTCTACAGCTACATATTCGCAACCATAGGCACCGATGGACTATCCAAGGATTTACCATTGTACTTCCCTGGCCTGGCGTCGACTCTTTCGTTTGCCTCGCTATCAGTCCGATCCCCCTTTCTCGACATTCTTGAACGCCACTTTTTAGACATTGACCCCCGATCTCTTCGACCAGCCATGAAATCAGTTGTTCTGGCCCTTTTACCTGGCCTTGAGGACGAAACTAGTGAGGACTTTGAACGAACGTTGCGACTGATGGAGAGCTTCAAGACCGCAATCCGACCCCCAGGCAGCGACGAACTGGATGGACCACATTCATCGGGAGATGACTTCTTCTGGCAATGCTTCTTCTTGGCCTCTATCACAGGATCAAGTCGGAGAGCTGGGGCGCTAGCATACCTTGTGAGGAACCTGCCCAAATTAGGCGAAACCTCTTTACCAGGGAAACCAGGCAAGAATGGCGTCCAGGAAGACGAGCACTCGGCAAAACTCGCACAAATGGTCACCTCTCCAGAACCTGGATTGCTTTTACGTTGCTTTGCTGCGGGGCTTGCAGACGAGCAACTCCTCATCCAGCGAGGATTCCTAGATCTCTTGGTCACCCACCTTCCCTTGCACTCTAAGGTGTTGCAGACGAATGTCAAGCCAGGCGACTTGGAGCTCCTTTTGCGTGCGGCGGCTGGTGTTGTCATCCGGAGAGATATGAGTCTCAACCGAAGGCTTTGGGCATGGTTCCTCGGCCCGGACCCTGGACCCGGGGAAAGTGAGAGCGGTATCGAGTCGCCATCTTCCACGGACCATCACAACTCCTACTTTGCGTCCAAGACGAGTTACTTTGAAGACCATGGGCTCCAGCCTTTAACCAGGGCGCTGTTGAGCATGATCAATGTTGACCGCGATTCGAGCCCAGCAGAGAGAGCGAGACCTTACAGAATATGCTTGTCGCTCATGGATCGATGGGAGATTGGAGGGCTGGTAGTTCCTGAGGTTTTCCTTCCGATTGTCAACAGCGTCCGGCAGTACAGAGACCATGCTCCCAGCAAAGCTGACTTCAACGAAGTGTTCCGCAGCGCCAGCGTATTCTTCGATGGTGTCGAGAGCGGCCTGATTTACGGCGAGATTGTCAGTCTCTTAGCGCAGGCTATAGGACCAGGAAACCTTGCAGAAAAAGAACGACTCGACAAGTTGGATTTGGTCAATTTCATCCTGACAAACTTCAATGTCCGCGAGGAGGAGATGATCACTATTCATGCGCCTCTTACAGCTCTCTCAATTATCTGCATGCTAGAGGACACGAGAGACAGACAACAGAACTCTCCCAAAAAGTCATCGCAAAAGACTGCCGACGAGGCACTGCACATTGCTCTAGCTGTGTTGGACCTCATTCCGGATCGAGCCTTCCCGTCTTCAGATGGCAGCAAGTCCAAGAGGACAATGGAGGCCGGTGTTCTGGCCTCACTTCCTGCCGTCGAACTTTTGAAACGGATCAAGGCATTCTATGTCGACGAGCAAGGAAATCTCGATGCCGTCCATGTTCCACTCTCGCCTATCGAGGTTGGAGAATTGCTGTTGCAAAAGTCGGGCTTGCTGGTCTGCGAAGGATTGAAGAACCCCGAAGCAGGATCCGAACTAGGCGCCAAAGGGAGGATTCTGACCGCCCTACTACTCAAAGTGCCGACTGCGTACCAGCTTGACACGGAGTCCCTCCTCTCTTGTCTTCACGAGCGTTTGAATCACACAAGCACA